TCCACTGGTTTGGGTGTAAAACGCTGGTAGCTCCTACCCTGGATCTTAATTTTTTAGTGCTTTCATATGTCATCTTAACTAGATTACTCAAGGATCAAGACTCTCCTGCTTTCTTCCTTTTCTTTTTGTTTTTGTGGTACTGGGGATTGAACTCAGGGCTTCCACCCCAGCCCTATCTTCTGCTTTTCTGTTGTTACTTAGATCCTTGCAACACTTAGGAAATATTTGTTTGCACCAATACAGTATCAACATTTCCTGCTCATTTGTAGAAAGTTCAACAAATTCATTATAGGCCTGGTATTTCAATTGTGGGCTGGGTATGTTCTATAAATTAAGAGATTTACAACAGTGAGGTTATTTATGAAACATCTGAATAAAGATGAAAGCATGTTACAGCAGCACAGATTTAAAATACAAACACTGACGGGCACCAGTAGCTCACACTTATAATCCTATAGATACTTGGGAGGTTGAGATCAGGGGCATCACGGTTGGAGGCCATCCCAGATAAGCAGTTGGTGAGACCTCCCAACTCCAAAATAAGCAGAACGAAATGGACTAGATGTGCGGCTCAAGCCGTAAAGCATCGGCTTTGCAAATGTGGAAGCTCGAGTTCAAACCCCAGTTCCACAAAACCAAAACAAAACAATAAAAACCTAGAAGCTAGACTAGTATCCTTTTGTCAGGCACCTCTTCCAAAGACGAGCACGAGGGACCCTCGCCGGCCGCCTCTGGTCCCGCAGCATGGCCTCTCCCCTCCCCCAACCCCAATCCAGGCTGCGCCCGGCCCGACTGGGACTCAGGGTGCGCTAAAGCTGCCTCTGCGCCAGACCTCGCCGGCCGACCCACATCTCACCGCGAGCCCCCCCGAGGTCTGGGTGCCGGGACAGATGGAGAAGGGGGTGACCCGTGAGGATGGATGGTCACTAGCCTGGGAGCAATGCCCTCAGGGCTTCACAACCCCATCGGGTCTCAGGAAGCGGAAGTGGCCCGCGCGTCTTCCGCGCTGCTCCGCGCCGCGCGTCCTCTCTAGGACGGCGGGAGGACTGGGCGTCTCGGTTCCCCTCGCCACCGCTCCGCTTTGACTCCCCTGGACATCCGGGGGCGGGGGAAGGGGTTAGGTGTCCCTTGATTCTGTGGGGCACAGGTGCTTATACGTTTCTTCTTTTCGTTTTCCTCCCTCCCTCCCTCCGTCCCTTTCTTTCCTAGATTTGTGTTCCCCACGCTGACCTTGAACTTAAGATCCAGTACTTCTACCTCAGTCTCCTGTGGGCTGGATTATAGCTGTGCAGCAACATGTTCAGCCACATTTCTTGTATTTTTCTTCTCTTTGCAGTTATTGTAAAAGTGGTAATTAACAGCAGCCAGGAATACATGGGCTCCGGGAAGCAGCGAAAGGAAGAGGGTCCCCACGTCCTCTCCAAAGGTCTTGACACCAGTTACTTCTCTTCCCCTCTGAGGCCACATCTGAGCGGTTCCACCACCTCGCACCGCCCGCAGGCTGGGACTAAGCCTTCAGTGCATGGATCTTGGGGAGAACAAGGATCCAAACCACAGCAGCTTCTTCTTTCCTCACTTCCCCAGGGGGCCAGGGTTTTGTGAAGGTTTGAATTCAGAACTTCTGTCCTTGAAGCTGTCACAGTCCGCCGTATAGCCCGATTCCCTCAGCAGTTATTAAGCTTCACTATATGTGTACATGAGAGCTTCTCCTCAAAATGCAAAACCGTAAGTGCAGGTGTGATGTTACCTGTTTCTGAGCTATTCACCTCTCGTGAGATGGTGAGCATGGGGAAAATCAATAAGATGTTCAATCTCTTGGGTATATTTGTACCTGTTTCTTTCTTTCTTTCTTTTCTTTTTTTTTTTTTTTTGGTGTTTGGTAGGGATATTGAACTCAGAGTTTTGCACATGCTAGGCAAGCACTCTTTTGTGTGTGGGTTTGTGTGAATGGGATTTGAACTCAGGGCTTCACACTCACAAAGCAGGCCCTCTGCTGCTTGAGTTAAATCTCCAGTCCATTTTGCTCTGGTTATTTTTAGAGAGGGTGGTCTCATAAACTATTTGCTTGGGCTGGCCTTGAACCTCAATCCTCCTGTTTTCAGCCTCCCAAGTAGCTAGGATTACATGCATGAACCACTGGTACCAGGTGCAAGCACTCTTCTATTGAGCTACACCCTCAAGTCCATATTTTTTCTTCCTTCCTTCCTTCCTTCCTGTGGTGCTAGGGATTGAACCCAGGGTCTTGCATATGCTAGGCAAATACCAAGCTACAATCCTAGTCCCATATTTTCTTAAAAGCAGTAAGTATAAGCTAAAATCCAGAAACTTTATGACTTGGTTATTTCCACCTATGTCATCTGAAGAACTGTTGAACATTTTGCTCAAAAGGCAGTGTTTCTGTAGAACCCCACTCTTTATTAGGGTTTGACAACTACTGCTGGGAAGTAGACCCAAATAGTGCCTCCTGTGGTCTTGTCACTGGAGCAGCTAAAACTTGGACAGGCTGTGCACCTCTGCCAGTTTTCTCACCATCTGCTCATAGGTTCAGCCTGTGAGATGCTTTGAAGTAGGGAAATGGCAACTCATGAAAGAACCCCAAAGCCAGAACTGTCCTGAAATAGAGTACCAGAAGGCTGTTCTGAACAAGAGGAAGTAAGGTGTCATTTGTTGTCTCAGGGAGCTGTCAATAGGAACAATAGACGAGATATCACCATAGGGTATATTTCTGCTCAACACAAGCACATTGTTTTCTTATTTCTTGAGATACAGTCTCTCTAAGTAGCCCAGTTTGGCTTTGAAGTTTTCAGCCTTTCACCTTGGCCTCCTGAGTGCTGGAATTATAGGTATGCACTACCACACCTGGATGTGCAAGAAAAACTTGTAACTGGAGCTGTCCAGCAAGCAATGGAGTATGCATTTCTTTTTATTCTTTTTTTGTAACTCTCTTGTCTTGACAAAGACATTAGAGGGAATGTGACATCGTATCAGATTGGATTAGATTAATCATACTCAAGAAAGACAGGGAAGGTGGCTCACACCTGTAATCCCAGCTACTCAGGAGGTAGAGATTAGGAGGATCACTGTTCAAAGTCAGCTCAGGCAATTAGTTTTCGAGACCCTATCTCAGAAATACCTAACACAAAAAAGGGCTGGTGGTATGGCTCAAGGGGTAGGCCCTAGTACCACACACACACACACACACACACACACAAACAAAAAGACAGGGAAGGCACGACAAAACCTGAGCTGATATGTGAAAAACCACATAGGAATGGGTCTTCAGATTTTTGTTAGAGTTAATTTGAAATGACAAATAACATTAAAGGACAGCACTTAGATTTGCTTAGATAATGTCTAAAGTCTTGTCCCAGTTAATTTTTTTTTTTTGATTCTTTATGAGCCTTAGCTGAGACTGGAGGTGTGGCTAAAGTGGAAGAGTGTCTGCTTGCAAGTGCGAAGCCCTGAATACAAGTTTCAGTCCCACCAAAGGGGGATGGAAGAAAAAGTAACCTACCTGTTCCTCAAAGATCTAGTTCCACCATAGGGCTTCACAATCTGTAAGGATTCAGATGTCTTGTAAGAGGTACTTAAACTGCTTTTGCTGAAAAGCACTGACTCTGTACTTGGGCCCAGGAATTAACTAAACACAGGAGAAGCTTCGCATCTCTGTCTCCGTTTTGTATCTGTTGTCCTTTGTTCTGAGCTGTTCTCTCCTGCAGCCACCTTGAACTCAAGGAAGGACAGGAATGATAACACCTCTATGGCAAGGGACTGAAACTACCTCTAAGGAACCTTAGCGCCTTTCAGGATAGACACCCATCCAAATGAAGACAATTACCTATAATGACAAGGCTGCACTCTGGAGCAGGGCAAATCATCTCATGGGAACCAGATTGCTCCTTCAAGTGATGACAGTGACAACTTTTCCAGACTCTGCTCTGGAACCCTTGGACTGAGACAATGGTCAACCAGAACATAATTGTGACTGGGACTGCTTATGTATACCTTTTGTCCCCTTTGAATAGACAAAGGTCTATTCAAAGTTAAAGCTCCTGTCTGTATCCGTAAGATGGCTGAGGATGGGCTGAGTGTTTACTCTGCCTCCTCTTACAGTGTGTCCACCGCCATGTAATAAATCTCATTCTCTGCTCTTCACCATGTCTCTTTATTTGGCTTACAGGGGCGAGTGGCCGGACCTGACAGTTTGGGGTCCAAAATTCCATTTCAGTCTCAACTTCTAAGGGTTCCAGTCCCAGCCCTCTGCCTGCTCTGCCCCGTGTACTATAGGTTCCCTGTTTCTGTATAGTTGAATCTTTTCACCAGGAAGGAGTACAGTTGTCTTCCAGCCTCATTTCTGTTTCTCCTCTATTGCAACTTGCTCAGAACCCCAGCCCCTTCCCCGAGATCCTTAGATTTTTGATCCCACCGCTTTGGGGTCCTCCCAGGACGAAGGCGCCATTGTCAGTGTCACTTCACATTCTGCACAGGGTCCTTCATGCTACTTCTCCACCGGCCAACTCATGGAAGTCGGACCCTTAGGTCTGCCATTCTTCCTCACCCCCCATATGCCTCTATATGGACTGGCCACTTCCTTGGGCGAGTGTCAAGTATCTGTTGGCGTCAGAGAAAGGCCAGGTGGGAGGGTGTCTTTCCTAACGTCTGTCGCGATCAGTATTGGTGTAATGACTAAAAAACGCCCATGAGGTCTGCAGGAAGAATGGTGCAACCTGGGGAAAAAACAAGCAAAAAAGCACCAAGTCTTAGAGTTATAACTCCGGCTCCACATCCGGGGACCCTCTCATCCGGGGACCCTCTCATCCGGGGCCCTTATCCAGGGAGCCAATCATCGGTCTCCGGAAGTGACGTCACGCAGCATCGGCCGTCTGACAGTCTAGAGTGGCCCCGGAAAGGCTGGCGTGGCTCCCGGAGCGAGTGTGTTGGTGACGGGACGGTCGCTAAGCCCGCCTCTCTACTCGGGTGAGTCCCCCGGAAGCCGTTGTAACGTCGCGGTGGGAAGCCGACTCTGTTTCGCCTTCCCGGGAGAAGGAGGAGGTGCCGGGCCTTGGCTGGCTGCTGTTCGGGTCCTCCGGAGCGTGCGGAGGCCTGGGCGCGAGGGCCTGTTTTTCTCTTCTGCCCTGGTTGGTCCCCAAGCCCCAGGGGGACTGAAGGCCTGCGGTCAGAACCCGGTGACCGTGTGCTGGTGTGAGCTGGGTCTGTATGGCCCGCTTCGTCCTTTTGGGATCGAGCCTTGGTTTAGCAGGGAAGCGGGAGGAGGAGGTGGAGGAGGAGGGCAGTGCTGGGTTGGGCCTTTTGAGGACCAGATCAGGAGCGGGGCGAGGGTTTTGCAAACCCCTTAACTGAGTGAGGGTTTTGGAAGGAGGATGGAACCCTGGCACGTCCTTGGGTTTGAAGGACATCAGTCTAACCGGTCTGAGCCGCAGCTCTTCCGTTTGTGTTACTTGCAGACTGTCTGTCCAGCCTGCCGAAGGAGTCTGGCTCCCAACCTGCAGTTTTATTATTAGGCTCATTTAGTAACTCACAGTGAGCTGACAGTGTTGCCAAGTAATTCCTTAAGGGCTTGCCTCGGGAAAAACAATGAGTAATCATAACAGGCATGTTTCTCTGGGTACAAGCTTGAGCTTCCAAAGAAGGGTGTAAATTTCAAATGTTTAAAACTTTCTACAGAAAGCTTTAATGCTATTCAGTTGAACTGTGCTGATTTTTTTTTTCTTAGAAGAAAAACCACAAAGCTGGGTGTAAGCTTATAAGTTCAGCACTTGGAAGGATAAGGCAGGAGGATCCAGGGTTCCAGGCCAGCCTGGGCTACATAGTGAGAACCTGTCTCAACAAAACCCAAGATTTAAATAAGCAAACAAAAAAATGCCACAGATTCAGAATTAGTGGAATTCAGATAATCCTGCATACTTGGACGTTATGATTTGGATCTTAAGTATTTGAAACTAAATGATGTCTATTTTTCTTTTTTATTTTGGGTGGTTAGTCGTTATTATTTTGGTGGGAATGGGGTTTGAACTTTGTGCTTGCAAAGCAAATGCTCTTATCACTTGGGCCACATCTCCAGACCATTTTGCCTTGGTTATTTTGAAAATGGGGTCTCATAACTGTTTGCCTGGGCTGGCCTTGATCCTTGAGCCTCCTGATCTCAGCCTCCCAAATAGCTGGGTTACAGGTGTGAGCCATGGGTGCCTTGCTCATGATTAACTTTATTCAGTATCTACCGTATCTTACTTTGCTAAGTCCTGAGGATATGAAACGATGGAACATTTTAATTTATTACAATAATATCTCCTAATTTCACTCTGCAGTTATGGTCATTGTCCTCCTGAACAGGGATGGAGGAGATATCGGCCCAGGAAACAGCAGGATCACCGAGGGTCCACTTTCAGTCTGTGGAGACCTTGTCTGAATGTCTTTCCCCAGAGCCTCAGTTCGTGCAGGACATCAACATGGAACAGGGACTCACTGAGGGTAAGGCAGAGACAGCACTTGCATCCAGGAGAATGGGAGTGTTGAGGGGCTCCTGGGCCTAGTGTGACAGAGTCTAGGAATGGAAGGGGAAGGGCAGTGACTCAGTTCCTTTTTGGTCTGGGCCCCTCTCTTAAGCATGGCTCATCTTTCTTTGATGTGCAGACTGGTAGGCACTCACTGTGCTCTGGCTGTTTGTCCTTCAGAAAACTTTCGCTTCATCCCAGTCACCACATCCAGAACAATCTCTGAGATAAGCTGCTCTTGCCACATCTCACAATCCTTGCCTGACTCACTTCTGTTTAGATTTAGGGTCTTTTTCTTCCCCTGTTCCCTTCGCTTAGTTTCTCTTTCCTTGAAGACTGTGTGCTGTGCCACTTGCCATTCTGTTGCAACTGCAGTGTTTATGACTAGTTTTGATCAAGAAAGCAACCATTGATTAATTCCTTGGTTGAGCACAATGCCTGTTTGAAAACATACATGTTACGTATTGACTATGCAATCACATTTTAGTGTGTGGTGGAGGTAGGCTGGCCAGACTTCCCCCACTCCGATTTGTTTTGTAATTACTAGTTCTTAGATTGCTGTGAACAGCTTCAGTACCTGTAGTAACTTGTATGCCAGCAGTGCAGATGGAGTGCCACCTAGTGGAGAGTGCTGTGGGGCATTCTGGGAAGGAGGAAAGGATTATGAGGAGATAGGACCATTTCTTGTTGCTGGAGCCTTCCTTACACACTGTTTGCAGAAACAGTGCTTATTCACAAAAGAAAGGCTTATTGGAATTTATAGAATAGCATCTGAGAAACTGTCAGAAGGTTGCTAATCCCTGGCCCCGGATGTGTCACTATAAGTATTTATGCTTTGCTTTGCTCATGTGCAGAACAGGTACAGTGCTTACATTTCTGTAAGAGGAATGTCATGTCACGATGATGAAGTGAAGTGCAAGATTTCATAATAACATCCTGTATCTAAACATAAGTAGGAGAAAGTACTGAGGAGGAGAGACACACCCAAAACCTGATAAATGATCATTGGTTTTATTCGAATACTGATGTGAAGGAGGGTCCCCTTGACACCCTTTGGGCTGGAGAGGCCTCTTCTGAAAGGGAGCCCTAGGAAAGGGCTGCTCTCACTCTTGGCTCCTTTCTCCTCCCTCAGCTCCACCTGTTCCCCAGGTGCCTGCTCTTCCCCACGAGGGAAGCCCAGGAGACCAGGCAGCTGCGCTCCTGACAGCCAGGTACCAGGTGAGCTGAGGATCCCTCTGCTTTTCCTCAGGGGCTGTTGCTGATTGAGTGTGGCCTTTCCCTCATCGTGTCTGTGAAGCCTTGCCTGGAATTTTTTCCAGTAGCCGACCTCAGGTTGGGAACTGATCCTCTGCTGAGACCTAGACTTCACACAGACCACTTTCCCATCTCCCCAACACCACCTTTGTCCATGATAGTGTGATGGGCATGTATTAGATGCTAAGGGTTATGGGACTATCCTCTAGGTTCTCTGTTCTCCCTGTTCCCCAACATAAATATACCCTGGATAGACACCCTCTCTGTCATCATCTTCCTTGTGTGGCCATGGTGCTATGGTGGCCTCATTCCCCAGAGTAGCCAGGATGTATTATTTCAGGAGTTTGTGACATTCGAGGATGTGGCTGTGCACCTTACTCGAGAGGAATGGGGATGCCTGGACCCTGTTCAGAGGGACCTCTACAGAGAAGTGATGTTAGAGAATTATGGGAACGTGGTCTCACTCGGTAAGGCCCAACTTTCTTACCACTAAATTTACTTGTGAGGTTTCTTTACTTCCTTGTCTCTTAGAAGGTCAGTAGAGCATGGGTCAGATTTCAGGTCTTAGAACCTCTGAATCCTCTATCTCTAAAGTCATCTCCTGGAAGGGGTAATTAAGGATCCTTTGGAGTGTTAGGAAGAGACACTGAGTTCATGTTTCCTGTTTTTGTGGGACATCCGTGTTAGCAAAGAGAAACTCACTTTCCCTACCTTTTTCTTTCTTTCGTTCTTTTTTTTTTTTTTTTTGGTGTACTGGTGTACTCGGGGCTTCACTTGCTAGGCAGATGCTCTAGCACTAGAGCTGTCCACCAGCCACAATGTCTTTTTCTTTTTTATAAGAGACACTCAAGTATCCGCCCAGTCCCTGACCAGACTGTTTCTCGTCTGATCTCTCAGTGCCCCATATCTGCTCTTTGTGCCTCACTGAAGAAGGAATACCTTGTTTAAAAGATAGGCTGAAATCCTCTTGTTGCATACACCCTCACTTTTTGTTTCTTTTTGGCAGGACTGGGCTTTGAACTCAGGGTTTGCACTTGCCAAGCATGTGCTCTATAGCTTGTGTCAAGTCCCCAACCCAGTTCCTCATTTGTCCAAATTCATCTCTAAGCAGGCAAGTTTGAGAGACTTCATTTAAAGGCATGACTCACTCTCCATTTCAGTGAGTCATCCAGACGGTAATCCCAAGTAAGCACTCCCAGGGCAGGACAAGTCTCAGACTTTTACCCACACCAAGGTGGGGTAAATTCTTAAGCCCTGTCTGCCCTTTTGTCTGTGTCTGTGTGTGGTACTGGAGTTTGAACTCAGGTAGGTAGACTCTCTATCACTTGACCTCCCCCACCAGCCCTCTCCTTTGTCATTTCAAATAGGACCGGAGACTGCTGGGATCAGGCAGCCTGTAGTGCTGTTGAGAAGTTGCAGTGGGGGGTTGTTGGCAGTGTCCCCTAAGTGAGCATTGTCCTTTTTTTCTCTTTGTTTTCGGCCTGTCTCTGCCTTTGCACCCTTGGGTATACATTTACTGGCACTCCCCTCAGGAACCTTCCCCCATTTTTTGCTTTGCCTATTTGGGTGGCATCTTGGACATTTTTTTTACCTCCTTGGTTACAAGGTTCCAGAGGTCATCTTGCCTGTGGGAGGCAGTGTACCCATGGGAAGGTTTTTAGTGCGTTTTCCATTCCTGGTTCTTTGATCTTTATAGGCATGCTTCTCCGCCTTCCCACCACCCGGATTCATTGTGTGAATTCCTGCCCAGCCCTGAGTCAGACCCAGGCAAGTGCTCTCTCTGGAGAAACACTTGCAGTCCTTACAGCAGGAATCTCCAAGAGATGGCCCAGGTGTCGGCTCGGAAACTTTTCCACGATTGTAAGAAACTGAGCTTGGTTGATGGAGTAGATGCCCCTCCGGATGCACAGCTGCTCACGTGACTGTTAACTTCTAACATAGGGGGCAGGGAAGCCTTCCTGCATCTACATACATTTTGCACCCAGTCCATTCAGGAAGGTGGTCAGCTACTGTGTTCTGAGAAACCACAAAGTACAGCCCCATCTCTTCAGTTATGGTCTTTGATGTTAGAGTGTGGAACACATGCTGTGTGCTTTCCAGTAGTGAACATGACTGCCCCTTGTGCTGCCTTACTGTCCTGTGACCCCTGGGCTTTCCTCATGTTTAACATCCTACTTTTCTCCTTCCTTCACGGTCCTGCCCTTGGTTCTTTTGGTGCCTACAGATCGATGCACTCGTACTGCCTTTCCTGCTGAGTGTTCCTTACCATTGTTCTTGATGGAGTGGAAATTGGGGGGGCAAAAAATGAAATCTCCTCATTTCAGGGCATCCAAATGAGTATATATTTAATAACTTTGTAAACTGTAAAGTGATAACTATATAATTGTAAACTACTGTTAATTTTATTTAATAATTACAGAATTTCCAACAGCTAACTTGTCTACTTTTTGGAGTAAAGAAACTTTGTAGCAGTTTAATAGCATAATCTGCTGTGAGACTAGACTTTATCCCATTAACATGCACACAGTCACACCAGGCAGCTCAGTTGTTTTAGTGACCAAGTCAGCAGCTTCTCCTTAGCAATTACTTTTACAGTCCCTGCCAAGTCATTTTCATGTTTGTGGGTTCAGTGAAGTCACCTGAAATTTAATTTGGCTTCCTGTTTGGGGTTGTGACATAGGACTTTATAATTTAGTCCCTGATTTAGCAGTCCCACTCTCCAGTGCACATCCTCTGAATTATGTTTGTGACAGACGTCAGAACTTTGGTCCTAGATATCAGTAAATATATAAACAGTTGAGTTAAAAAATGGATATTATAAACCAGGTGCTGGTGGCTCACTCCTGTAATCCCCAGCAACTGGGGAGGCAGAGATCAGGAGGATTGGTTCTAAGCCAGCCTGGGCAAATAGTTGCAAGACCCTAACTTGAAAAAACCAGAAAAGGGCTGGTGGAGTGGCTCAAGATGTAGGTCCTGAGTTCAAACCCGATACCATAAAAAAAAGTATTATATAATTTTCATTGCCAAACTGAAAAAGATGTGTATTCTGTTGGCAGTGAGTAAGTGGCTTGAGGGTCATACCCGACGGGAAGCTGTGTGTGAGTTAGTGCTGAGATTAGAGCCTGGAGGAGGGCGGGCTTGCATCTCACGACTCAGTGTGATGGGTGCCTTGTGGACTTAGAAACGTTTACAAGAACTGCAGTTGTTAATGAGCCGGTAGATTGGGAGTGTTTGGCACATAATCATTGCTTTCTGAAACTGATGTTGTGGAGACCAGTGGTGATTTTGCCTAGAACATTTCTACTGCCATGGCTGTTTACTGTGTACGCTAAGTACTGTATACATCATTTCATTCTTGCTATATTGTCTGTGAGCAGAGGATATTTTTATATCTGAGGAAGCTTGAGGCTCAGAGAAGCTACCTTCACAGGGTCAGCAGTCGACTTGGGACCCAGGTCCTTCTCTGAAGTCTGTGCTCTTGTGCCTTTAGGACAATAGGTCTTAAAGCCATATCCACTGGGGTTTGAACTCAGGGCTTCACATTTGCTAGGCAGGTGCTCTGTCACTTGAGGCACTCCACCAGCCCTTGTTTTATATTTTTAATGGGTTGTCTGAACTCTGATGTCAAGAAAAATTCAAGATGACAATGATAAACTGGACAGAGAGGCCAATTTGTACAGTTTGGGAGGATATGTAGGCACATACCACGGTACAGCAGTGTCTATGTAAGAATGCTATTGCTAAAGAGGGTTCCTGCAGTGTTCATTAATGACCAGGAAGGCCACGAGGCTTTCAGATGGCTAAAATCTTAGTGAATTCTGGTAGAAGCAACAAAGCAGACAGTATGGTAAGATTTAAATATTCTAAAGACCAGATCAGAATTAATCTAACTTAAAAACTCTCAAGGTTAAATGAAATTAAAAGTTTGAATAAAAAAATTAAGTAATTGTAGACAAAAAAATTTAAAGCTGTGCATGTTTTGAAAACATAGTTTTGAGTTACATTTTGGAAAAAGGCACTCAGGTCAACAGCAAGGAAACCTACAATTAATGCTTTCTTTGTCAGGCAGTGCTAGAGATCAGAAAGCCAGGCGGATTCAATCAAATGTAGGTTCCACTTACCAGCTGTGATGTGTTGAGCAAATTGTTTAACCTGCCTCATTTTCTTTATAAAACATGGCCGGTAATGTCTCCCTTCTTGGGTTGTGCCAAGGATTACATCCCTGCGAATCTAAGCTCTTGGCTCGCGCTAGTTAGTTAAATATTTTAAATATTTTGGCGAGCACAGCAAGCGATGTTAAAAGAGTGTTCGCTCACATTGTTTCTTTATAGTGCAGTTTCCTCAGGTTGGGTATTGCTGAGGCTGTTGCCTGGGGTTTGGACTTTCATTTTAGAGATTTGCATTTCTTTGACACTACATAAGCACCTAGATGCCTTTTACTGTTATTGTTAATATTTTTTTGGCGGCACTGGGGCTTGAACTCAGCCTCGTACTTACTAGAAGATTCCTTTAAATTAAAATTTCTGTGACTGAGGATTCTGGCACTTCATGTTGTTTCTTTTTTTAATTGAAATGCTTTCAAGTGTGTGTGTGTGCATGCATGTGCCTGCTGGGAATCAGCTTGGCCTCATGCATGCTGCGGAGGTCCTCTACCACTGAGTCACACCCTTGGTGTCTGTTTTATTCTTATTTTTATTATTCATACATGTTATTAGAATGTTGGTTCTTCTGTTCTTTCTGCATCTATTTTGGAGGAAGGAATGGATTTCATTTCACAATTGGTTTTTGCTAGTAGAAGTTCTGAAATAAGATTGAGTTTGAATCTTACTTCAGCCTTTGTGATCTTTGACCTCTCTGATTCTTAATATTCCCATTTGTCCAGTGAGAACAGTAACTCATAAGGCTAGGGTGAAACTAAGTGAGTGAAAACTCAAAGTGCTCTTGGCACAGTACCTTGCAAGCTGATGAGTGACGCTTGGTGATACTGATGACACAGTGACTGTATACCACTAGCTTTTTCTGTCTTCCACACTATTTCTTACTGCTTGCGAGGCATTTTCTCATTTATCTTAAACTCAAGTCTCACATGCAGCCCTTTTTCCCTAGGAAGACAGTCTTTTTTGTTGTGCGTTTGTATTTTAAATGTAACCAAATAACCAGTTAATTTCAGTTACTAAATACTGAGAAACACCTTACTAAATATCTCGAAAGTTACAAAGCACATTGTTAGAATTCTGAGAACAATATTTGCTCCTTTATGTCATGCCATTTTTTAAGCTTTTTTTTTTCTTCCAGTGCTGCCGTCTAATTGTGCATGGTGTGCATATGCCCCATCCCGGCTTAGTTTCCAGCAAAACTGTCTTATTTGACATGGAAGACCTTAATTAAGTGTTCAAAAGGAGAACGGGACTGTGTCATTCTCCAGCATTCACTGAGCAGCATAGTAAATGTGTCTCGTGTCCCTTCTGACCTCGCACATGGGCTGCCCTGTGGGATTCAGTCCTATTTGCTCATCGTATTTTCAGGCCAGATGTGCTTTTTATAAAAGTGGGTAATTGTTACTACCTTAGCACTTGGGGCACAGAGTTAGCTCTCTGTAAGTAGCCGTTAAGTAAATTAAGCAGAAGTGCAAGATGCATTGTACAAATCAAGTGTGGGTGGTAATGCCTGAAACTGATTTTAAACATCTGTAAACATTGTGTGGTGACATTTCACGTGAAGAGGAACAAATTATCTTGTAGACATTCAGTAAATGGAGAGAAAGCCTTTTGGATAAGAAGGGCTTGAGCAAGACCTTGCATGTGTGTTACTAGGCACTTTCTGACCTCAGCACATAAAACTGTCCTGTTGTACTAACGGTATCAAAATTCTTTCCCCACTGGTTACGCTAGCTCACACCTGTGATCCTAGCTACCGGGGAGGCAGAGATAAGAAGGATTGAAGTTTGAGGCAAAGAGTAAGACCCTATCTCAAAAATACCCAACACAAAAAAGGACTGGAGGTGTAAGTGGTAGAGTACCTGCCTAGCAAGCCTGAGGTCCTGAGTTCAAACCCCAGTACTGTCAAAATAAATTTCTATTTTCTTAGAAGCAAGCTGCCTGTTGATTTAGTATCAAAAGAGATTGGGGTCCTAGTGGTCCTTCAGGCAAGCCATGGAAAGATTGTTTTATCTTCACTTTGTATGAGTATTAAATTGCACAAAGTGGTTGGCTGTGCTGTTTCCATGCATGCTTGTCATGCACTTTGATCACATTCCCTCCCCGATCATCCTCCTCTCCTCTGCCTACTGGTTCCCCTCCCTACACGCCCCCTTTTTGCAGTCATACTGCATTCTTTTTTTTTCCTTTTTGGTGCTCTACAACTTGAGCCACTGCACCAGCCCCCACACTCCCTTTCATTGCATTTCTGTCACTGCGTCACACTTAATGGCTTGTTTGTAGCTGTCTCTGTAGGTCAGGTGTGAGGCCCTTGAGGAGTTGCACCTTTGCTTGGGTTCTGCCTTGCCTGCATACTTTGCCTGTGTGAAGCAGTCCATGAATGCTTGGTGCATAAGCGAGTGTAAGCTAGTACCAGTGGGGAAGGATGTGTCATATTCTTTGTTTCTTCATGTGCACTCAAACAAATTTTTTTTTCTTTTAAGTTGAGATAATATGAACACATTTCTATGGGGTTACCTTGTGATAATTCAGTACATATATGCAGTGTATAATTTCTTCAAACGTTCATCATTTTTATGTGTTGGGAATTTCATGTTCTTCTAGTCATTTTGAAATAATATAGATTGTTTGAACTTGTTGTTCTCCTTCTGTGCTGGAGAAGAACCAGAAACAATTCCTCCAACTGTGTTGGTGCTCCTTATTGAATTTCTAATTGCTCCCTGAGGTTGACCCTTACAGTATTTACCCAGTCTTCTGGACTTTGTTGCTGCAGTTTAGCTCACTGAGCAGCAGGTGCTTGGGTTTCCCCTTTCTCCAGTTCAGTGAAACTATTCTGATGACTTTCCATTGACATTTGTAGAGAGGTCTAATACAAAGAATGCGCTGTAGGCCACAGGTGGAGAGTGGTAACAATAACTTCTGTGAAGACAGGTACACACCCGTGCACAAATTCCCTTGTCTGAATGATGTTTAAATGAATACAGCTGCTCCCAAATTGTCAGCTCAGCTCACCCCTTAACACACCTCTCACTGGAGCACACATCTGAGCTCCTGTGGAGGCTCTTTGCCCTCGTCACTTGCCAAGCCTGCCTACCTTCTGTCAGTCATTTAGTTAGGAGACAAAGTGGCTGATGGAGCCATCTGGGGTCAATTGCCACCTCCCATTTCCTTCTCTGTGAGCAGGGTTTCCAGTCCCCAAGCGTGATGGGCTCTCCCAGCTGGAACAAGATCTGCAGGCCTTTGATCTGGAAACCAAGAATAGACAAGTCTTAAACAATGACTGCCCAGGTGAGTAAGGCAGAGCCAGTCAGGTGGAGCTAGTGGGAACTACACCCAGGTGTTGAGCTATGTAGTGGGAGAGCTTCTGCCTTTCCCTGCTCCAGGCTGACCCGTTGTGTTTATTTAGCCTCTTATGTACACGTTGTAGTGGGTCCCTATTCAAGTTGCTCGTCTAAAATTCTTTTGAACCCTTTCCCTATTATCTCCTTTGAAACAGCAGTTAAGGTGTTGAGTGGTTGTCTTCTTACTTCTGCCCGAAATGGCCTCTGTGTCTACCACTCCTTGGTCATTTGCGTTCCACCTGACTGCTGTTCATGCCTATGTCTGTTGTTGACATTTTGTGCCTGCCTTTCAGAGTTAATAAATTTCTCTTATTAATTCTTCTCTTATTAATACTACATTATTTAGTTTCTTCCTATCTGGGTTTTCTTTATAAGCGCAGGGTGCAGATTACATTTGCATTTTCTATTTATATATTGTATCAGATGGAGAGACCAGAGAAGAAAACAAGCTGTTGGTTCCTAAACAGAAAATTTCCGAAGAAGTCCATTCATACAAAATGAGAGTAGGAAGACTCAAACAGGACATTTCCCAAGTTCCTGAGACTAGAGAAGTATGTAAGTCTGAGGACAGATTAGAAAGGCTTCAGGAGATCCTAAGGAAATTCCTCTTCCTGGAGAGAGAGTTTAGGCAAATAGCCATCAGCAAAAAAACCTTTTCCAGTGAGAAGAACAGTGAGTGTAACGAACCTGAGAAAAGCTTCTGTCTGGACTCCACCCTAGATTCAGATCAGAGAGTTCTCAGGATACAGACTGTTGATGATGGTAAGTACAACATGAACTTCAGCCAAAACTTAGCTGCTGGTAAACACGAACACCTAAATCTAACACAGAATTTCGAGAATGCTGAATATAAAGAAAGCCTAATGGACCTCTCCCATCTCAATAACTGGGAGAGCATTCCTCCTACTGAGAAGTCCTATAAATGTGATGCCTGTGGGAAAATCTTTCATCAGAGCTCAGCCCTTACTAGACATCAGAGAATCCATACTAGAGAGAAACCCTACAAATGTAAAGAATGTGAAAAATCCTTCAGTCAGAGCTCAAGTCTTAGTCGACATAAAAGAATACACACTAGAGAAAAACCCTATAAGTGTGAAGCGCCTGATAAATCCTGTGACACATCTGATAGGTCCTGTAGTCAGAGCTCAGACGTGATTCAGCCTAAGAAGATTCGCACCAAAGCCAAACCCTACAAATGTAGCAGTTGTGAGAGAGTCTTCAGCCGTAGTGTCCACCTCACTCAGCACCAGAGAGTTCACAAAGAGATGTCCTGTACATGTGCCATATGTGGCAGCGATTTCTGTCACACTTCATACTTGGTGGAACATCAGCGGGTCCACCATCAGGAGAAAGCCTATGAGTATGGTGAATGTGGGCTGGCCTATGTTAAACATCAAGGAGTTCCTCTCAGAGAAAAGCCCTATACATGTAAAGAATGTGGAAAAGACTTCAGGTTGAATTCACATCTCACTCAGCATCAAAGAATTCACACAAGAGAGAAACCCCATGAATGTAAGGAGTGTGGACAAGCTTTCAGTCAGACCTCATGCCTTATTCAGCATCACAGAATGCACAGGAAAGAGAAATACGAGTGGAATGATTATGAGGGAAGCTTCAGTCACAGCTCCAATCTCGTCCCGCAACAAGATGTTCTCAGCAGAGAAAAAGTCTTTGACTGTGATGCATGGGAGGAGAACTTCAGTCAGAGACCACATCTCATTCAGCATCAAAGAGCCCATACCAAAGAGAGACCTTACGAATGCAGTGAACGTGGGGAGACATTTAGTCCAGTTCAGGCCTCGTTTGACATCTGAGTTCACACTGAGAGCTGCTGTGTCCATACCGAATGTGGTAAAGCCCTCAGTCATAGCTCAGCCCTTGTACGGCACCAGAGATTTCACACCGAGAAACCCTCTGAATGTGACAAATGTCAAGAAGCTTTTAGTGTTGAACTCCTAGTTGGCTTCTGCACATCCATACTAGTGAGAAAAACCTGAATGTTTTGAATGTGGTCAATTCTTCACAATTGTGGAATTTGTGTGGAGTAATATTCCCTTACTGAAACGAACATGAGAAAGCCATCAGTCAAATTGACACCATATAGAAAGCCTGTGAAATGTGTGTGAGGAATTGAGTCATGACCCAGTGCTCATTTGACATTACATTGTCCCCAGAGAAGTCATTTGAGTACAACACATGTGCCAAGTCTTTCAATGAGAGTTCATCAAGTCTCTGTCATTATCAGAATATCTGTACCAAAGGGAGACACTGGCCACTGAATTTCAGGCTCTACCCAATATCGAAGTATTGAAGAGAAAGTCGTTATTCATATGTGAAATTGCTGATATTTAGTCCCAGTCTTTCTCATTGTAGAAGAATCTAGTCTGAAAGGTGACTTGGTGAATACAGTCCTGTTTTCTCATGACATTCTTTTACTTAATATAAGTATTCTAAGTAGGTACGAGATTTTATTTATAGGACTCATGTAAGCTATTTTTTAATATGGCCTATCCACATTTTTATTTTTTCTGAAATTGGTTCTTACTGTCCACAGCTTTCCTAACATACTGTTACTGCACCATTGTTGAGACATATCAGCTTCTGGAAAAGTGGCTCATTTAGCTTATTGCACTGTCCCCAATGCAGACTCCCAAGGCCCCTACATCCTGTTCCTTTACAGCCACAACCCCTGGATTCCTGTTGATTGCTGCATTCTCTTAAGCACCTTCAAATGATGGTTTCCTAGTTTTAAGCTTCTCGCCAGCAGATCTGCAGTCCTGACTTAACGGTGCTGGTCTGGTATTCTCTCTCCTAAAGTGAAGCATGTTTAAAAGAATTGGAATTCCACATTAGCCATCCGTAAGTATGGAGCAGGATTCAGTTTGCCTGTGTTGTGGCAGGCAGCTAAATATTTTCAAGTGAATCCAACTTTTTAGCTGCCCTTTCTGCATCCACAGCCCTCTGACAGATGGTATAAGGACATCAGGGAGCCATCAAGACTCCTGGTGGCTTGAGCTATATTCATTCAGTGCCTATTCTGCATGTCTAAGCTTAGACTTTTTTATAAGCCTCTATTGAAGGCCAGGAAATTGCTCAGGTCTGCTTTTGATAGGGCAAAGGTAAAGAACACCCAGAAAAGCAGAGAACATCTTTAAGGAAACAAGGCCTTCCAACAAATGTTGCTGTTCTTACATAATATTTATAGAGACAATATTTCAAGACTGTGGCAGGTCTGTTCTTGGTAAAAATGTAACTGTTAGGATTTCTTCTTTGTCTGTTTAGCTGTCCCCCAAATCAAGCCAGCACAGTATTTTTGAAGTGTGGGGACTTTGTGTATAGTTGTTTTGTTTTAAGACAAGGAGGGGGTCTCTTACTTTGTTACCCAGGCCGGCCAGAATTCCTGGGCTCAAGCAGTCCTGCCTCTGCCTCCCAAGTAGCGGGGAGTACAGGTACATGCACCATGCCTGGATTACATTTATGTATTTTATAGTATACAAAAAGAACTGGCTTTTTTGATAAAAATGATCAGAGATGTTGGCACCAGAGTTCATGACTCTTTAGATGTTGTCAAAGCATTCCCCCTCTTGAGCTTCATAACATTTTGTGAATAAAACAAGTGTTATTTGCAATTCTAGTTGTCAGTTGAGCAATTGAGGCTTTCATAGCTCAGATATTACAATATTCACTAGGGATCCTCAACAAATATATAAAAATAGTTCACTCTATAAGCCTTCTGTGGCTAACCACTAGGATAGTTCTGCCAGTGTGTTTTACTTCTTTGCTGTCAGCAAACATAGGATATCATCAGAGCAAAGTAAGGCTCTAAATGAAATTGATATATATTCAACTGATCTAAATGTAAAAGCAAATGAAAAATGCATGTTTTTTTTTCTATCAAACATGTATACTCTATAGAAACTAATAGTCCCCCCGGTGGCTATGAAACAGGACTAAGTAATCCCTAAATAGAAAAATACGTTAAAAAAAAAAATCACATGTATGCATTTGGTTTAGGACTGTGCTTTTGTACTTCAACTTGAATAAAGGTGTGCTTGATATTCTGAGAATCTGTTTCAAACCAAGTCTGCAGGCCTCAGCCGGAAGACCTGGGAATCATGGACTTACCATCCTGACTCTGACTGTTCCTCCCTGAAACTTGCTTCACCACTGGAGTGGATCACTGTTTTTGAATTGAAAAAAAACTTGCTTTTACACAGACCTCTGGAACTCAGTCTACTGCTTAGAACTTAAAGGGTATTCAGTTGGGATATTGTCACTACTTGAAATAAAAGTAAATACTTTGAGGTTTCTATAGAACTAGGAAGAATGTGTTTTCTTGGTAAGTAAAACACATTTTAAAAAGTGAGCCAAAATAATATTTGAGGGTAGATACTTAATTGGTCCAATATGATATGAGTGACTATTCTTAGCCTTCGGTCTTGAAGGCGGCAGGGAGAAGAAATCTAAGGGGGGACACCTAATTTATTTTACCTATTTTTTTGTCCACCTGCTGCATGTACACGTGTGTGTACATATTCAGATGTAATTCTCACCACAGTTGTGCACAGTTCTGAACAGATGAAGTCACTTTGTGGAGGAGTTAAAGAACGTGGTAGGATCTCACAAGTTAATGGCTCAAAGTCAGGTCTATTTGACTCCAAAACATTCCATCGTCATGGTTGCTGTTAAGACACATTTTCAGAACCTGGTGAACCTTTCTCTGATGACTTCATTTCCTGTACATTCCCATTGGTGCAGTACATCAGTTTGCACTTTGATCCGAAGAGTTCTCTGGAATGCTAGAAGGGAGTATCAATTTTTCATTTATTTTTTATGAGCTAGTGAAACCTCCTTGAAACAGACTGACAGATTGTGACAAGGCAGACTAACAGACATGAGTCAAAGCTCCCAAATTCATATCTCCTGCTCCCACTACCGGTTTCACATTTCCATTTCCCAGTGTCCTAAATTTGTCCTTAGCCTTTTCTTCCAGCCAGAACTTGCTCATGGGCGTGAAGCAAAGTTTGGTTTGGAGCATGTGGAAAGGTGGGAGCATGGAAAGTTGGCAGGGAGATTATTTTAAGCAGAAGTGGGTAGCAGATCAGAAGCTTGCAGACAAGCTTCTTGTCTTGGATGGCACTTCCAAGGTGGAAAAGCCTTACCTTAGAGCATATGTGGGCAACTGAGCAAACTCCCCCCCCACCCCCGCCCCACACACAGACACACACAAGGGATTGATTTAAGTATGAAATCTAAGAAACGGAATTAGTGAGCAAACCTTTTGCAGTGCAAGACTAGCACTGAAACTTGCAAATCCAGGATCCCCTGGGTTTGGACACTTGGTGACTACAGAAAAGATAGTCATTGACTGGCTCTGGACAGTCACTAGGTGCTGGAGTCAGCAAAGTGACGCCTCTGCCTCTCTAAGGTGGCACATCTCATGTAAATATTTAGAAACATTTTAGAGCAGGGTTAGCCCTTTATCTTTGTATTTCACTCGTATTTATAAGTTTACAATTTGGGCATAAGTAGAATCCTGTGTCTTCTTCACGCGTTCACACTACGTATCTCCAACGTTGTCCCTGATGGAAGCCTGGGCTCGCTCTGAGCGGCCCAGGGTTAAACACCGTCTTTTGAGTACAGCTTCTGGCACCTAGGAAAGTAAAAAATACCAACTTCCTAGGCCCCTGAGGATTAATGACAAGATGTCAGTTTAAGCGCTCCGTAGTGGTAGCTGTTTCTGAGACTGCCAGGAAATCCCATAGGAACAATTCATCTCCTTAACATTGTTTGTCCCTGCTTCCAGCTACTAAGTAGGCCTGCAGGTCGGCTCCTCTTTAAGGCTTTTCTTCCTATTTCAGTCCACAGAGGCCTGTCGTCCCGCTGATTCTTACACTGCAGGCTAGGCTGGGAGGGCAGGGGTGAAGAGGACAGGCTGGAGGACCAGCCTAACTTGAGATCCCCGCGGGGCGAGTCCCTGGGAGAACAGGCACGCAAGCTGCCCAGCAGCCCCGCAGAGTCGACCATCGAGTCGAGCTTCCGAGCCGCCTAGAGCGGCCGGAAGTGCGCGCCGAGGACCCGGGACTTCCGGCGGACCGGGCAGGGCGCTGCGTTCACCTTTCGGCCTTGGGGAAGAAGGGAGCTTCTGACGCTTGCGGCGGCAGGAGCGCGTCACCCACCGATTCCCGTCTGTCCATCTCCTTGGACCCGACCCATGGAGAACCACCTGAGGGAATGGGTGTCTCCCGAGTCCAGATGTCCGTCCCCAGATCAGGCGCCTCGCGGCAGCAAGGGTGAGAAACCAGCTAAAAGTTTGCCCGCCAACCCTGGCCCAGACCCGCGTACACCGAGGATCGACCTGGGGCAAGGCTGCCGACTTACCAACCAAAACAGCAGAGCCGGGACCCCGCGGTGTGGGCGAACCCGCAGCAGCCCAGGACTGAGGATCTGCCCTCCCGCACCTGTTAGTCGCCCCGCACCCCGAGAAGCTCCGGCAGTGGTGTGTGAATAAATGAATGAGTGAACGCAGCCAAGTACCGCCCATGCCCAGGAGCCAGGGCGAGGTCCGACCCCTGCCCCCGCTACCCAAGCTCGCCTTCATCCAAGGCGTAAACCCCGAGGGGGACCCTTGTCTGCGGAGTGCGGTCCACAGGTCAGCCATCTGCTGACGGAAAATGAGGCTACGCCGTTCATAGCAACGCTTTGATTTCACTCCACCTCCCATGTTTATCTGCTATATGGCCTTTTAAAAAGAAGTTGGATTATTTAATTGGGGAACAAAAGTTTAGATAGTGCTCATCATGGGCTTTGATATGACTCATGTTTGTGGGCTTTTCTTTCATACATTTGGCTTTTTTTTTTTTTTTTGGCGGTACTGGGATCTGAACACAGGGCCTCCCTTCCAGCTTGCTAGGCACTGTTTTACCACTTGAGGCCCAGCCCTTTTTGACTTTGGTTATTTTTCAGGTAGGGTCTTTCACTTACTTTGCCCAGGGCCAGCCTAGGACTGCCATGCTCCTACCTGTGCCTCCCACATAGCTGGGATTACAGACATGAACCACCATGCCTGGCTCAGGCTAACTTTACGTTTTTTTGTAGTAATTATTACAACGTGCTGAGAATAAGAAGAGAAAACTTGATCCCTCTCCATCCAGGAGCTAGGTTCAGTTGGAATAGTCAACTGTGAAACACTACAGAGCCACAGGTGGTGTTAGAATTCTCAAGAGGGATTTCGCAAACTGGGTACTGGCTCAGGAAGCCTTACAAGATTGTGCATTTGGCCTTGAAAGTATAGTAAGAAACATGGAACTGGAGGTGTGGCTCAAGTGGTAGAGTGCCTGCCTTGCAAGTGCAAAGCCCTGAGTTCAAACCCCAGTTCCATTTCCCTCCCTCCAAAAAAAAGCTTTTAAATGAAGGGAAATCAGGCCTTATGTTAGTCAGCTGTCCACTGCTGTGACAAAACACCCAAGAAAAACATTGTAAAGGAGGAGACGTTTGTTGTGAGTCATGGTTGCAGATGTTGCAGTCCATGGTTGTGCTGCCTCCACTGCTCTGGGCACATGGCAAGGCAGCAAATCATGGCAGGGTGCTGGGATCGCAGAGGTCCTTGACCCGATAGGGCTCAAGAAAGGAATGAACAAGACATGACATACAAAAGGACTCACACAGGAAGGCAATGACAAAACACGTATCAAGAGGGCCAGTAGGCTGATGACCAACTGGCAAATTTTTATTTTTTTCAGCAAGCTTTATACAAAAGAGGAGACTTAAATATCAAAACACTCTGACCTAGTTACAACCTTTCTGTTTTTGCCATCCTGTACTTTTACTGCCAGTGTCCTTGACTAAGTATAAACTTCTTTTCAGTCAAGGGAAACCATTTAGGGTTCCTTCCCACTGTGATAAAGGCATGGTGCACCTGCAGATTCCAACCTTGTCGGAATGCTGCTAAGCCACAGCAACCTTGTCAGACTGTGGCTTTTGGTTCCCAGCAGCAGGGAGTCAATGGTGAGCAAAGTTGCTTATCTCTTGGTGGCCAGGAAACAGAGATACAGTCCCCAGGGGCCCCTCCCTTCAACTAAGCCCCATCTCCTAAGTACCCATCACCTCCCAATAGCCCATTGCATTCTGAACCTATCAGTGGATTAATCCATTGATGAGGTCAGACCTCATAATCCAGTCACTTCCCAAAGTCTTGCTCTGAACATTGCTGCATTGGGGAGCAAGCCTTCAACCTATGAGCTTTTGGGGGTACATTCCAGCTCTATACCATTAATAGGCCTTATTCCAGGCTCCCTGCTGTTAGTCTTTCTAACAGGTCAAGCAAGTGTCTGAAAGACTCACAGTGCTAGTGGATTCACCCTCTGCTCTATAATCGGCGTTGAGTCCTCTACAATGTGGCCTCAACCCAACTTTAAAGTCTTACCTCAAGCCAGGCACCAGTGGTTCACGCCTGTAATCTTAACTTGGAGGTGGAGATCAGGATGATTATGGTTTGAGGCCAGCCCAGGCGAATAGTTTGTGAGACCTCATCTCTGAAATAACCAGAGCAAAATAGGCTGGAGCTGTGGATCAGGCGGTAGAGCTCCCACTTTGCAAGGGTGAGGCCCTGAGTTCAAACCCCAGTCACACCAAAGAAAACAGAAAAGAGGAGGACAGACATAAGCAATGTTACATGCCAGGCCCTGAGGGTGAGGTATCTGTGGTGATCAAGAAAGAGCCAGCAGTATCAAAAGCCCTGAAGTGAAAACCCAGGTATTACCTTTGGAGAGCCCAGTTCCCCAGGCTGTTAGAACTCAGGTGAATGTGGCCAGCACCGTTTGCCATCCGTTTGCTAGGGTGCTCTCAGTCTCAGTACTGAAAGTCCTACACCCCAGGCAAACCAGGACAGTGACGCCCTCATGGTAACCACTCCCCACCTGGCTCCTGACTGCATTGAGATACAACGTATTATGTAGGCTGGGGTGTAGCTCAGTGTTAGAGCATGTGCTTAGCGTGCACCAGGCCTTGGGTTCCATCCCCACATCAAAAGAGAAAAGGGAAATCTCACTTTGGGGACCTTTAAGAGCTTTGCTGCCTCACCCCAGTCTTGGCGGTGCTGTGTGGTTGGGTGGGGTTATGGCCTAGGTAGGCCTAGGGAGATTTTGAGACAGAAGAGCCCCTAGAAACCTCCATTATGACCTCCCTGTGACCTTAAAAGGAAGAAACCAGAGTAAGGATGGTTTGAGGACTGACCAATGAGAACAGTGCAGGCACAGCCAACCAAAACGATGCTTTCTTATTTATGGAACTGGGCTTTGAACTCAGGGCCTACACCTTGAGCCACTCACCAGCCCTTTTTTGTGATGGGGTTTTTCAAGATATGGTCTCGTGAACTATTTGCCCTGACTGACTTTGAACCAAGATCTCTGCCTCTTGAGTAGCTAGGATTACAGGAATAAGCCACTGGTGCCCGGCTTGAGATGTTGCTTTCTACACACTTAGATAGGGATCAAGCAATGCCCTTGAAAAAATGGATAAAAGCCTTGGACCATGTCACTTGTTGGGCATCCTCTTTTGGGACCCTCCCCTCCCAACTCTGGGGGCTCAACTCTCCTGCTTTATATTTTTTTATTTCTATGTCAATAAACTCTTGCTTTACTTGCTCTCTTTGTCCATGAAGTTCATTCTTTGACTTTGTGGGATTAGAACCCTGAACTCTGACCCTCCTAGCTAAACACCTAAGCCAGCAAGGTTGAGTGCAGGCTGTCACTGCCACACAAATCTCCAGTTTCCATTTTAAAGATCCCCAGGTAATTCTAATGTACACCAAGGCCAAGGAGCAATTTAATAGGACACTCTTTCAGGTGCTGAGTGAAGTGTGCCAACAAACCAAATAGGATCTAGTGCCTTAGTCCAGAGAGCTGGGCTGGGTGTTGGAGAGCATCAGGAATCCGAGGGACAGCAGAGAGAGTGTTCCAGGCTGTGGCTATTAGTTGAATTACCTGAAGGCCGTGAGTGGGGTCTCTCAGGCGTTAGTCATCCCCCAGTTCTGTTGCCCAATAAAACGTGTTTGAGCAACTTGGGTTTTTTCTTTCAGAAGTTCAGAGGCCAGCAGAATTCAGAGCTCTCCCAACTCCAGCCCCAGCTCAGAGTCCCAGTGGGCACATCCTTCTTCCCTTATCTCTCCCTTGCCCTCTCACCTACACTTGGG